AAAGCTCTCTACGTGTGACTTCTTGTGAACAGAAAGGTCCCAGCTATGTTCCCTATTTATTTAATTTATATGCCGCCCACACTACCCAAAGGTCTCTTTATAGTTCTCTATGGATTCTCTATGTCTGTGATTTGCTCTGGGAACATCATATCAAGTTGCAAGTGGCACACAAGGTCTTTCATTTCATCACCAATTGAACCTGTGTTAATCTGTCATCACTATCTAACTACACAAAGTTGTTGGGCGGGATGCTTCCAGATTAAGGGTTCTGTTGTGCAGCCACTTCGCCCCACTCCAGATAACGTCGCCTTCCATTTGGAATCCTCCTTTTTTTTACCACCACCTCTTCCATCTTTTTACGTAGCACAGAAAACCCATTAAGAATGGGTTCAGCAAGAATGACGAAATAGCTGCACAATATATTTTTACTGGTATTGCTGCAGATTCTTGATGGTGGCAAGGGTTGTCCAGAACAATACCATCTCGAAGAGCTGTATTTTCATCGCTGTTTTCACTTCCTCTCTCTATTGCCCACAATGTCTGTTTGGGAAACTGCAGAAAAGTGGTTGACAGTGAGTGAGTGACAGCACAGTGATGAAGCTGCTCTGAGATTCTGAAAATTGAAGAGTTGGAGCTTATTTCCCTGCAGATCCTCGAAAAAAGCTCTCAAAAAAAAAACCTAGGCCATTTGCTCATCTCGCCATAATATAAATGCCAATCAATCAATTAAGCAATGGCTGAAATCCTGCTACTTAATGTAGCAAGTTGCACTAGAGTAGGTCTGCTGAATCAGTGGGGATTTGGTGAGTCAACTCCTCTGTAAGTTTTATTGATCCATATGGGGCTATTCTAATAGTGACTTACTGCAACTTAGTATGTTGCAACTAGAGTAGGCCATTTAAATCAATGGAATTTACAGAGGAGTTGACTCATCAAATCCATACCGATTCAGTGGGCCTACTCTAATGCAACTTACTACACTAAGCAACAGGATTTCAGCCAATGTGCCCCAAATTGGGGTTGGGAAGAAGCATTCAGGCATTTCTGAGCCCCAAACATTTCATTAAGCAGAACAGAGAAAAGGAAGAGAGTGACATCTCAAGCAAAACTTCATATGATAAATATCTTCACATCATCCCATATCTATTATTAATCACCTCGAGTGTTCACTCTTCCGGCAACTTCAAACTTTTCATAAATATTTCATCTAAAAAGCAATTATTTCGTCAAATACTTTAAGGTTTTTGTTGCTGCTTTGTGTTAAATGTCAAGTAAAATCTAATTTATTCATCTAAACACACCAGTCTTTCCATGCTTTAACTAATGTATTGCATAGAAATGAATATGCCTTCCAGGACAGCAGAAGATGCCAAAGGCAGTGGGAGGGCCGAACAGTTACAGTTCTCATGACCAAGAATCTGAGGGAGTTTCAAGAGAACATGAATACATAAGTCCTATTCAAATCATTGCATGTGAAGGCCTGAATGATGCTAGGCATCCAGAGATGTTTCAGAGGGGACAAAACTTTTATCTGCAGAATACTCATGTCCCCATTTCTACCTGAACCATATATGTGGTAAGGGTATCTGAGATAATTCATGCAAAAGGCTTCAGAGATACCACATCAGTGACTAAAGAGGTCCACTACTCATTTTAAAAGAAATCTTGAAAAGGTTACCTTTTAGACCTCAGTTCCCAGAATCTGCAGAAAAGGTAGCCACTGAAGTTGCTGTCCACATAACTTTTGCCCGCTGCAGCGTTCTAAAGCAGTCATAAACGCCTCAATAGGTCATGAAACCTAAATGGAAAAGAGCAACCACCCTTATCCATGTCAGACCATTGTGGCTCAGTACGATTTGCGCCACCTGGTTTTGGCCTAAATTCCATCTTAGCTGTAAGAGGCTATTGAATCTGAGTCCTTCTGTAGACAGAAATTTCACCAGTGATCTGTGCCCATGGGCCACCTCCTTAGGTCCACCTCCTGTGATGAACAGTATTAATGAGACAAAAGACAGTGACCTAGTAAGGCAAGAGCACTGCTAGCCACCCTCTGAGAGGTAAAAGATATTGCTGGGCAGACAGTAATGCCACCAACCAAAATGAATTGTTTTATGTTTTCCTTCTCAATGGATTTTCTGTGTTAAAAGAAAATTAAAAGACGGAAGAAATGGCAGGAGGAGGTTACATACAAATGACAGGCAAGCCTTTCCGGATTCCTTTTAAGTTCCACAAATGAGGCAAAATAATTGCACAGTAAAACCCTCTTACAGAGGCAGCAACATAAGAAGAGAGGGTCTTGCTCCATCTCTCCTGGTGCAACTGAACACGATTGATTTATACTGGTGTCCCTAAACCAGAGTAGGCCTCAGGCCACCACCGCCGATGCCACCACCAAAAATCGTGGGTGCTTCTGCCGCACTTCAAAGCAAAAAAGCCATCTCTCTCTCTTTCTCCCACTCACTCACTCACTCCCTCTCTCTCTCTCTCTCACACACACACACACACACACACACATTTTTAAAATAAATAAATAAGAGACTTAAAACTTGTTCTGCCCTATTTTCAAATCCTAAAGTTGATCTCCTTAAGCCTCATGGGGAGACAGAGGGAGCAAGAGCAAAGCCCTTAAGCTAATTAATGCTGCTCCTCCCTCATGCGTGGGGGGAGATATTTTTTCTAAAAATACAGCTATAGCCCATTTTCATACATCTTTCTGCATGTCAGCATCTCTAGTAAAGAGTGGGGAGCTGAGCTCTGCTTTCATCTCCTCCCCCTGGAACTGCCCACCCACCATGTCATTTTGTTGCTGGAGGGGGGGGGTGAAAACGGGACACTGAAGAGAAAGAAGGAAAGGAAGAGTAATCAACATGGTTTGTTATGGGCTTGTGCTTACATGACTGGCTAGACTAACACATTCTTAATTCACTTCAATCTATCTGATTTGCTTGTGTGTTTATGAAAATAAAACGATCAGATCTTCAGATAATGAAGTACTCTGTCTCTTTTCTGTTCCATCTCGATAAAGAAACTTCGTTTCATTCTCTTGCAAATGCTAAGGCAGGTTAAGGTCAGGAATTCAGCAAAAGTATACAAAATTGCCTGGAACATGCCTCAGTGTGGAGTTTCCTTGCCTGTGTAAACATATCTTGCTGACTGAGGATAACACGCCTAAATAAACGCGTGAGAGATTGGTTAGTACGAACAACGGACTCAGATGGAGCCAGAAGGGAATCTGAAGACGGAGAGATGAACCTCCAGCCTATTGGAACACACTCATTTTGTGACTGCAGAAAAGAAGTGGTTGGTGCCATACTTCTTTTGTGCGTTGTTACAATGCTGTCCCCATTATTAGGCGGATTGAGACAACTATCTCATTTGGCAAAAATGAGGGTCAGCCCTGAGGCCATTCCTCCTGAGCCTCCCACACATTCTTTGCTATGTAGGCCAGGCAGCCTGTCCTGCACCATCTAAGTCAGTGGTCCCCAAACTTGGGCCTCCAGATGTTTAGACTACAACTCCCAGAAGCCTTCACCACCACCTCTGTTGGCCAGGATTTCTGGGAGTTGAAGTCCAAGAACATCTGGAGGCCCAAGGTTGGGGACCACTGCTCTAAGCAATCCTCTTACCCTCATAAATTTCGAAATAGATTTTAGCTGCCAGTCCTGTTTAACTATCTACTTGAAATAGGGCCAAGTGGAGATGCGGGGGTGGGTCTTGTCCTTTGCTGCAAAATGTCACGGGCAGGCTCAAAATCTATTTGTCACCTATGATTTTCCTGTGCACCAACAATACTCATGCTTTGTGAAGGAAGCATGAGAGGGAGGGGAAAGGAAGTTGTTTTCAGGAAGTTACGATATACAGCTTTTACTCAAAACTGCCACTATACTGCTTGATAGATGTGGGACCGGCTGAAAAAGGTAAAGGTAAAGGTTCCCCTTAAAAACCATGATAGAAATAAAATAAGTAAATAAAAATAACAAAAAAAGGATGGCTTTTCACTATTATTAATTTGAAGAAGTGGCCATGCCAGGAAGATTTTGAGATCCGACCTCTATGTTTACCTAAACTTCCCCAGAACAGGCAGTTTTTTTTCCTTTCCCGGGCAGGATCCCCACACATTCAGCCATAAAGGTGTGCATTTACAAGTGGTGCATTTTTGCTGGTGTCCAGGAAAGCTTTCTTATTACATCGCAGAAGTTTTTTAATGTTCGAAATGAGACCATCTTTGTGTTTAGCTGGAGCAGGGGACAGAGAGGAGCGCTCCCCATCTTCTGCTTTCTTTTCTTCTCTCTGAATGTCTTTTTACAGTCAGATTGCTGGGAAAGGACAGGAAGGCAGTAAGAAGAAAGTTATGATGAGTGACGCACGTTTTCAGTTCCCGCTTAGCAAGCTGCAGTGGTGGTGGCGGCAGCAGTAGCAACAGCAACAGTGGCAGCCATGTTGTCGGCTCCTCAGCCCCTACAAGATGAACTACCAAAGTCAATACTTCCTAAAGATAAGTCTGTTTTTGGTCAGAAACCTATGACATTTAGTAATGGTGAAGAAACAGAGGTGGAAGAGGTAAGGAAGGAGAGGCAGAAAAAGGGAACGAAAGACATAAAGCATAAAGGACATCAAGGACAGTAAAGCTCATCGGTGGTAGGCAGCAGAATACTACCACATAGGTTGGGAGGAAGAAAGGTACATGTGTGGTTGAAAAGGTGGAAGGTTGGAAAGGAAATATCTTCTGAAGCTGTCAGGCTGTTTCTACAGGTGGAACTCCTTGTGTATAGAATCATTCCAGGAGAGATGGCTAGGAGTTAGGTATGTTCACTGTACATACTGTAAATTCATTTGTTTTCTTTTGCTCTTTTTCTCTTTCTCATTCTCTCTCTCTCTCTCTCTCTCTCGTTTGGTTTAGTTGTACTAAAAAATAAATCACAAACTAGATTTTCTTTGAAGACAGAAAAGGGTCCCAGGGTTTTAAGTCTGTGCTGTTTTTTTTTGTTTTTTGTGTGTTTTTTTGGCTAGTGCTGGTGGATCTGCTACACTAGACTGCGTGAGCCGCTGGAGTATCTGCGCCTCTGAAGCAAGGAGCTGGGGGGGCAGGTCTGGTGCGGGTGGTTGTAGGGTGGCGGCGGAGGTGGAAGCGGGGGCTGATGGATGATTTTCACTGGGGTGCCTTGGAGCCCACTGCCTAGGCCACGCAACGGGGTCGAGCTGCAGGAATCAGAGGACACGTAGCGTGTCAGAGTCTGGTTGAGGGCCGGCTCCATACGAGCGAGGCACGGCTTGTCCAAGACTATAACTTTGACAATCTGCTGGCACTGTACAAGCGTCCCCGCCGAGGCAGGGTAAGAGGGCACCAACGCTGTCTCCAGCCTCTCCCGCGGCATGTTAGGAGGCGTGCTGCGCTGCATTCCACTCTCGAGCCCCGGGACAGAGTTGTGCTGGTACGTTTGAAGCCTGTTGTGAATTGACACCTAGTTTAGAAACAGTCAAAGAAGCATTAAATGTTACAAGACTTCTTCCCATCTGCCACCGAGGGCTGCCCCTTGCCCTACCCACCCTCCAACAGTTTTAATTTTTCGGGCCACATGCCATCGCCCACCTCATCCATCCCAACATACCTTCCCGTTTCCAGCTCCCATCAATATATGAGTCCTTTCCCCTGCCCAAAAAACATTGCCCCTGGAAGCCCCTTATAGAAAAGGCAGTGATGCCATTTCCATATACAGCACAACCTCAACTATCCAGATCGAGCAATTATAACCACTGTAACTACATAGTGTGCGTAGAAAAGAGGCTTTAAAGTGACACGCTATAGGCAGCTGATGGTCTAAGTGAACTCAATGTCTCTCATGCCAATAAATAATTGTCTACTCCCCTTTTTCTTATGGTTTCTTATTTAGAAAGAAAGCAATTTGGGAATATAGATGCTCTTATTTTTGCTTTATTGCTATAGATACATCTTTCAATGAAGCTCTCCAATCTGATGGGAGCTCCAACAAAGCCTTACATCATCACACAATCCATAGGCCAAGAAGGCAGACAGAGGAGGATAATTGAGGTTGCACATATTTGCAGGGGGGGAATGAGATTTGCTGAGGCTCAAAGAAAGACTTGAGCTCTTCCCAGCTCCTGTCTTTCTGAGCAGGAAGGTGCACACATGACTCACTAATCTTGTTACAAAAGGAGAAAAATAAAAAAAAAGAAAAGAAAAGACATACAAGCAGAAATCTGACATATTTCAGCAAACTTGCAGCTCGGCTCTGATCCACTCAATGGTTTGCAAGTGAAAGGAAATGGTTTTACATACGCCAAAAAGAAAGAAAAAGGGAAAAAAAATCCATTCAGCTTATACAATGATTATATTAAAGAAAACAATTTGATGAAATGGCGGCAGATCAGGTAATCTCAGAGAAAATGGAAATGCTTGCTTCTGCTGAAGAGTAAGATGAGGGAGAGGGGAGGAAGAGGGCTCAAAGGACCTTCAGAGAGAAGGCTTAAAGGGTTTCCCAACCTGAGATTGAAAATAAGAACTAAGATGGAACAGAGTTTTCTATGGGAGGGGGATATCTCTAGGGCAACAGACAAAAATCCTATAAAATAGGAGTTCAAAAAAAGTGTTGTTCCTCAGGCCACTGGGGTCAGGACAGAGGTCAATAGGAGGGAACAAGAAGAGAAGAGTCTCTTCTGCTTGATTCTGGAATTCCATAAAGGAATATATACTTATGAACTGACTCTTTGGAATTTGATGTCCCTGAAGTGAAAAATCTTGTCATGAAAAAAATGGCTCTGCAGGACCACATGGGGTGTATGAAAGCCATGGAAATGGCGGTCTCTCCTCCCCAAAGCCAAGAATAGTGATAGGTCAAAAAGTAAACCTTTCCAAAATATTTATGGGGATGTTCTGAGGAACACAGGCATCTACGATAGCGGAGTTTTCCACAGCTATAGAATAGGAAGTTGTAAGGCAACATGGCTTCTGACAGCAGAGGATCAAACAGCAGTAGTTGATAAAGTGGTGATGGAGGTGGGTGCCAGCCCAAAAAATGGAAGCTGTTTTTGAGGAAGTGGATGTTATTGCAGGAGTGCAGCTCCTGACCCCACAGGAGGGGGGGAGATGAAATGGGAGACATCTGTTGAGTAAAAGATGTTTGGGGAAGGAGAAAGGCAGGGCAAATTAGATATTTTGAAGGTCTTTCCCCTTATTAAAGTTCTCCTGGTGAACCAGAAGCTACAGGAGAACCCTTTCTGGGGTGTCCAGTCTCCCAAATAAAGAGGGAGAATAAACTTTCCTAACAACCATCCTTTGGTTGACAAATGTGTGACCTAAGCTACCACATATGTCGAGTCCCAATCACTATGTTCTGGGCCCTGACAGATATGACAGTGTCTAGGGCAGAAGAGCCTGAAGGAAAGGCCACACTGATGGCTTTTTTTTTAACAGAGGCTTTGGTGAAGGCAGTGACCTGTCAGGGGAGCTGATCTCAAGGGTGTCTCTGATTTCTCCTGGAAGTGTGTTGGGTGGGGATGAGGAAGGAGCAGGTTAGTCTCCAAGAGTTCGGGCGCTTGCTCCATGAAGGATGTGTTAACAGTTATAGAAAAGGCTTGAAAAAAATGCTTTGAAGTTTAATCTGGATTTGAAAGTTGTATTACCCGTCCTAGCAGTAACTTTTTATTGTATCTCTGGAAATTGGTAAAATTGTCAGTCTGGCTGGGGAGGCATTGATTAAAACCTGAGAAAAGAAACAACAGAGAATGTAAGAAGAGCTGAACTGAGGGAGAATTACTTACCTCACCAGCTGTGTAATCTACTTACCTCCACTGTGTTGTCCGGGACCTTCTCTCCCAAATCTTTTTTTCCTTTGAAAATAAAACAGACCCTGTCCTCAGTGATGAAACATAAAATTTCTTTCAGATACTTCTAAACTTAGTCCTCTCCCTTTTCGGTATATTACACGGATCCCTGCTTGTGTCCTTTGTGTCTTAGTCAGCCATTGAATGGACTACCTGTTACCTGAACTGAAACATAACTTTGAATATATATATATATATGTCAACTTTAAAATATCTGAATTGTACCTACCTAATATGTTTTTACAGCTAAATGGATGGCCATAAGATAGACACCTGAATGATGATGCTGATTTACTGCAGTTACTTTCAGATGCTGAGGATTCCCCCTCCAATTAAGTGCAAAAATATGTATACTATAAACTGATATCAATTGTATACTGTTTCAATTCTTATGGTTTCTACCAATGAGAAGGGAATGGGCATTAAATCAATGTAGGTTTGAAGTGCAATTTGTTTTTTTAAAAAAATGTAATTCCATCCTTTTAATTCGAAGTATATATTATTTATTTCACCCATTTCTATCCTGCTTTTCTTCTATTATGAAATTCAAGGCAGCACAACAGTGATGTTCTTTCTAGACCCAGACATGCTTAGCTTCAGCAAAATAGCTTCATCATATGCCTTCAGGCGACGACCTAGAAAACTACCAAAGTCAGCATTGGCCCTCATAGGCTTGCCACAAATTGTTGTTTCTCAATAGCTCATTTACTGCAGTGCTGCCAAACTGGTAAAAAACCTCTTCCAGTGTTCGCCACAAATCAGAATCCATAGTTTCAGCCAGGCTAGCTGGGATATTACAAAAGAATCAAAAGAAGGCACCCTGTCCTCCCGTATTTGTATATCAAACATACCGTCCTCCTTACTTCTTAGAATCACAGAATCAGAGAAAAGTGAAGTTGGAAGGGGCCTACAAGGCTATCAATTCCAGCCCCCTGCTCAAGGCAGGAATACAATCAAAGCATATCTGCCGGGTGATTATCTAAGCTTTTCTTGAATGCCTCCAGTGTTGGAGCACTCACCAACTCCCGAGGTAACTAGTTCCATTATAACTGGTTCTTCTTGCTTGGGGATCAGGTGTCTCTCTTTGGGCATTTCAGCATCATTAAATTAGAAGTAGACAGATAGATACCACAAAGACTGAGCTTCCACAGGTTGTTACTGGGTCAAATCCAACTCAAAGTATACCATCCTTTCCACTAGATAGCTGATTTGGGTGCCTATTTAAATGAACAAGCACTCCCAATTTCAGGGTTTCCAGTTAGGGTTATAAACCTTTGGAAGCAATGTGTTGTTCTTTGCAAGCAAGAATAAAACATTTCAAAAAGATTTTCCCCCCACTGGGCAAGATGATGAACATTTTGTGCAGTTTTTCACATTTTTGCACTTATTTGCTAAAAAAAAAAGTCATTGAAGGGGTTTTGTGAAAAAAGAAACCCTGTAATTTAGCCTATTTCCCTTTTTCTTTTTTCTCTCCTTTTTCTCTTCCTTTCCCCATCTTAGACTCTGTGATTAACTTGGATTTTACCTTAGTTTATTTTTATGTTATATATAAACCGCCAAGAGTAAACACATTCCAGATGGGCGGTAAATAAATAAATACATTTTATTTACTTATTTATTATTTATTTTATTTATATCTCGCCTATCTAGTCAGTTAAGACCACTCTAAGAAATAGTCACAATGTTTCATTGAAAATGAGAAAAATTAGTGAGGATTTGTTGCATCCTTATTCCAGACTATAATTTTATCTATCTAATCAGTCCCCTTGCTGGAAATCATCTGCTTCCCTGATAGGGGTCTCCTAGAGATTGAGGTGGGATTTAATTTCAGTTAATTTCCAATAAGAATTTATTAAAAAATGGAAGGAACTTGAGATTTTTTTTTTAAAAAAATGTATATTCAGATATTAGAGAAACTGGGGGTGCAATCAGATGAGGATAAAAAGATTGTATTAGATTGTGCCAGAAAAGGTTGCATCCAGGAAGTGATCTTAAAACCCATTAAAGACCCATTAAAGACCAATTAAAATGACCATTATGTCCAGACCCAATTGCACCAACCCCAAAAAGAGCAGCCCTGTTACCTCATCAGATCCATACAGGGGTTGGAGCAGTGCAGATCTGCAGTACATTGTCTGGCTGCTGGCAAATAGAGGAAGCCAGATCCTGTTGTCTAAAAAGTGACTTTAAACCCCATCTGATCACAGCCTGGAACTGACCATCCAGCCATCTAGGAGCAAGGCTTAACTCCTGAAAACATTTAGCTTTTAAAAGTCTGGTTTTAAATCTCTCTGTGGTCAACCATATTAGGTTGCTACCTCTCTTTTTTCTACGATGCTCTTTTTCAACACTTATAAAAGCAGACAGATAGAACATGCTCCTCCTCATACTGGAAATAGATATCTCTCTTGCATGTGATTGGTGCAGAGGGGGAGAAACTTTACTTTGGTTTGAAGGATTAAATGACAAACTACTTCACATTCACGACAGAAAGAACTTGTGATTTAAAAGATATGAAGGTGGGAGAAAGCAACACTGACAGATTTATTTCTTATTCCAGACTAAGAGGTTGTCAGAGGATGAGATGATAATCTTCTAGGTCCTGTTTCAGCTCTGGGAAGGCAAGGAGAAAGGCACCTGAAAAACTGAAGGATTCCGGGAGTCATAACCTGAAGAAATAACATTTGCAATCTCTGCCCAGGTTACAGTGAAAGGAGATCGTCATGTAATGTGTTATTTGCAAAATAAAAGAAGTCATTTTAAGAGCCTAACAGTTTCTATTATGGACTCTTTCAAGTATCAATTCTGTAAGATTACTCCTCAAGGAGACTGAAGACATTTTGCTTTTCTTGCTCCTGCTAGCAAGAAATCCAGTGCACCAATCTATATAGATGATGTAGTCTTCCAGGTAGGAAGTAAAGAACCCAGAAAAGTCTCTAACCTGTTGGAGATCCTTGCTTCGATTGTGTTTCCATCTGAGCCCCATTGGCCTTTAAGGAAATATTCTTTGACCCACGCTGCTTCTCCAGTTCCCCTGAGATAACGGGGGGGGGGAGAGAAACATTAATAATCAAATGCAGACATGGAAAGAAAACTCAAGAAAATACAGCAATGAAAGAGAAGAAAGGATATGGAAATGAGTCATGAGAGACAGAAAAGAAAGTACAGGAAAAAGAGCGTACTTATTATGGCTTGCAATCAATACTTTGAATACCATATTTTTCTATTTATTATACTTTTGTCTAAAATCTTTAGACTAAAAATTGGGGGTGGTCTTATACGTGGAAGTAAGCTGAAGAGAGAAAAAAACTGGAGGGAAAAGCAGAGATCAAAGTGATCCTGCAGGACTTTGATCCCTGTTTTCCCATCCACTTGCAAATCCTTAGCAAAAGGAAATCGGGGATCAAAGTGCTGCAGGATGGCTTTGATCCTTGCTTTCCCCTCCGCTTACTAAGTCCCATGGGGCTTAGCAAAAGGAGACGGAAAGGATCAAAGCAATCCGATGGCTGTATAAGGGGGAAAGGGATCAAAACGATCATGCAGTTGCAGGATTGCTTTGATCCCTTTCCCCCTCCTTTTGCCAAGTCCCACGGGGCTTAACATGAAGGGAGAAAGCAGGGATCAAAGCGATCCTGCAGTGCTTTGATCCCTTTCCCCCTACACTTGCTAAGCCCCACTTAGATTTCTTAATTTGGGGTTAGAAAAGTGGGGGGGGCATCTTATACATGGGAGCGTCTTATACATGGAAAATGTAGTGATTTTAACCATATGTTTGATGTTCTTCAACTTGTCAACTAGTACCAGTTGGAGGAAGATGTTGGCAAATGGGTGGTGAATGTAATGAAAAAAAGCCTGGTCTTAAATCTCTCTGTAATCAACCATGTCGGCAACCCTTGAATATAACTTTCCACTAAGGAAGACATAGTTCTATTGCAATGCTTACTTAACCCCACCACAAGGGGTGCCATTTTGAGCTGCATCAGGAGCTAGCAAATGCTATCACACACATTAAGTTTTCTTTGAAGGTGAGAGAATTATTGATTATTCAATGTTGATTAACATTCTTTTTTCATTTTATACAAAGTATGAAACAGATTTTTTTTAAAAAAAATGTCACAATAAATGCTCTTAAAGACAACACTTTGGGGGCAATTTCATCACAAATATGATGAGGATGTTAAAAATATGTTGGGAACCTTCTCCCCTTCTCCCCTTGGAAATGACAAATGGCACCCCTGCAAAAAACAGACATAATACATGAGACACAGACATGTGTACATACAGACAGAATGACTGCATGGAGTCTGGACCACGCCGGGAGCCTTACATTCAATTCGAATCTGTTCTAGCTCCATCACCTCTGCTATTGACTCTTTTAGGTCTTCTACAAATTTCTGCATTTCTTCTGCACTCAGAGCACAGAAATGGAGTACCTGTTTCTTCTCTGAGCCTGAAACAGGAGTCACCAAAGTGATGCCATGGGGGTAATCTACAAAAAAGAAGAGCAAGAGCATAAAACCCGTGTTGTGCATTCCAGATCTTAAAGCTCAGTAGTAGAGCTCCTGGGTTCAGTCCCTGGCATTTCTAGATAAGAGGTTATAGGAAAGATTCATGCTGGAGACCGAGGTAGTCGTTGTTTGTCAGACTAGACAACATTGCATGACACAGACAAGTAGTCCGAGCTGATATAAGGATATTTTCCACATTATACTAGTAACATTACCGAAGGGTAACACCCTCCAATGTGCACAAATCCAACTGCATCCTCAGGTTTTCTACTGCATGGGAAAATCTACTATGGATTTCATCCTCTGGAGTCATCTGGCAAGTCACCAAAACTGTGACAAACTTACATTCGTTCTCAAAGAGATGGAATTGCATTCCTAACAGCCCAACTGACTTGCAAAATGTGTAAGTGGAGGAGCTTTTCTTCTTGGGACAGAGCTTGAGAATCTGTTTAAGGAGACACAGAAAGAAAAAGAAGGTGGAAGAAAGAGAGATGTCAGAAGCAGCATTCCATTTGGGAATAAGGAGACTGCTTATCAGGCACCACAATAATTCTGTGAAATGACTGTATTTCTCTATCTCACACACTTTCTCTACTAGCTTTATCGGGAGATGTGTGGTCAAGTTCATAGGTTATGCATGTCTTGTTAAACATGATTCCAGTTCTCAATAATAAACATTATCATTTTGGTTAAATATGAAAGACCAAAAAGGGGATTGAGGGGGGAAGAGGGGGTGAGGTACCCATCCAAGAAGACCCCAGATTCTGTCCTTACATGTCGTATTTCAAACGGGAGTGGGTCAGCAGCAATGCTCCTTTTGGCACCCTGTTTTCCTAGCTCCTTTTCCTGTACAACTGCTAGCACTTTGTCCATGTGGTTTGTGTTGGGGTAGAACTTAGAAGGCCTTGCCTCAGATCCCTATTTGGCCATGAAACAAGCTAGGTGATCTTGAGCCAACCACAGTTTCTTAGCCTGGCTTATCTCACAGGGTTGTTCTGAAGACAAAGTAGGGAGGAAAAGGGACATGTGCACAACTAGGAACTCACTGGAGGAAAGGTGGAATATAAATGAAACAAATAAATAAAATAAATCAATGGGACTAAAGAGTTCTTTCGACAATCAATCTGGAAATCTTTATATCACCAAAAAATTATTTGATATTTGCTCTTACATGTCTGCCTCTTTGAAGGTTATTCCCTTCCACCGAAGCTGTCCGATGGGCAGATATGAAAGAGCTTCCTTGCTCCTATCCTAATTTATGCAATAAACTGGGCCTCTCTCCCTAGATGTCGAGCTGGATAAACGTATTGGTAAAGCAGCTACCAGGTTCTCTAGACTCACAAAGAGAGTATGGCTTAATAAGAAGCTGATGACATACACCAAGATCCAGGTCTATAGAGCCTCTGTCCTGAGTACACTCCTGTCATGAGGTGAGTCCTGGACCCTTTGTGCACGGCAGGAGAGGAAGCTGAACACATTCCATATGCGTTGCCTCCGACGCATTTTTGGTATCACCTGGCAGGACAAAGTTCCAAATACAGAAGTCCTAGAATGAGCTGGAATTTTTAGCATGTATATATTACTGAAACAGCAGCGTCTATGTTGGCTTGGGATGTCGTGAGAATGGCTGATGGTCGGATTCCAAAAGATCTCCTGTATGGAGAATTAGTGCAGGGAAATTGGCCCAGAGGGAGGCCACAGCTGCAATACAAGGATATCTGCAAGCAGGATCTGAAGGCCTTAGGAATGGCCCTCAACAGATGGGAAACCTTGACGTCTGAGCGTTCAGCCTGGAGGCAGGAGGTGCATCATGGCCTCTCCCAATTTGAAGAGACCCTTGTCCAGCAGGCCCAGGCAAAGAGGCAGTCCTGAAACGAGCAAAACCAAGGAGCTGGACAGGGGACAGATTGTATTTGTCTTCAGTGTGGAAGGGACTGTCACTCTCGAATTGGGCATCTCAGCTACACTAGACGCTGTTCAAATACCTCCATACAGAGCATGTTACCATCGTCTCTCGAGACTGAAGGATGCCTACTAACAAACTGGGCCAAGCTCTGCATATGGGGGGTGGGGTTGCTATGGTCTCACCCTATTTCTATGTATCTCACCTATTTTGTCATTCTCCTTGCCTTAGGATATGTTTCCATTCCACAACACAAGTTCAATGCCACTAGACATTTGGCCCCCAAAATTTAAATTTGAAAGCATCTCCTGCAAAATCTGGTTTCTGCTTCATTCTGGTTTAATCTACTCACTTAGCATCTATTTGGTCGCATCAGGCCAGTAAGGAAAAAAAAACATCTTGTTCCTGAACATCACCCACAAATATGAAGAAAGGAGTCACATCTCAAAGCTCTAATGTAATGCCTGTGTGATTGTATATGACTTTTGAAAAATAAGAATGACAGACTACGAAAAAAAGATACTGACAGCCAGCATGGACCGACTTGGATCTAGACACGGGAAGCATGAGTTCCAAAAACCACACCTAGAATGCCATAATCGAGTTGGCTTTTGGAGATACAGTATTATATTCTCTTTCAGTTCCACTTTCCAGGCTGTAAATTGGGAGCAGTGGTGTGCAAAAATGCAAAGTACTTTTATCCCTTCGAAAAAGCAAAGCGTGCTGCTTCTATACCCCCCACAGCGCTTCAAGCACTCTCTGGGCAGTTTACAAGTTAATTATGCAGGCTACACATTGCCCCCCCCCCCAGCCAGCTGGGTACTCATTTTACTGACCTCAGAAGGATAGAAGGTTGAATCAACCTTGAGCCGGCTACCTGGGATGGAAACCCCGGGCCCTGAGCACAGTTTTGGCTGTAGTACAGCAATTTAACCACTGGTCTTGTGTCTAAAGACATCCTGATGCGATTGACCGCAGTCTGCATTACATTTGGTGTATAGAAAGTGGAAAAGAAAATGTCCTTCCTCCTTTCTCTTAACACTGGGATCTACGGTGACTCAATAAAACAGGATGTGGGATACTGAAGACAGGTAAAGAAAAGTACATCACACAGGGCGCTTTGAAATTGCTACATCTGCTTCTGAAGTATAATGATGGCCATCGACTGTGACGGTGTTAAAAAAATTATGGACACTAAGACAACTATTTGTTACTAATCAGGATGGCTATGTATGATTCCAGGATCAGATGAATCTTGCCTCTGTATTGGGAACAATTGCAGCTAGGCAGGGCAACTGTGGGCTTCCCAAAGGTATGCAACGAGCACTGTGGGAAATAAGATGCAGCTTAGAATTTCTATTATATGACAGTGTGGACTGCGCTTGCTTTTGCTTCAGAATTACAAAGGTTTGTTCAATTATGTCTTCCTAAGGAAAGCCCCTTGAAGAGCTTCAGAATTAACTCTCAACTGTATCATTTATCCTTTGCAGTCATGATCCAGTCAGGCGCTCTTTATGTGCAGGGGAGAGCCAAGCAAAGTTCCTATGGTAACAGGGAATCCTAAAGAAATATTTGCTTCTTCAGCTTTCGCCTCTGCTATTTTCACTGTGGCCTTGTGGACTACTTGAAAAAGGTAACAGAGTGCAACAGTAGTTCCTGAAACACAGATGTGATTACACAGTCAAATACTAAGGGATTTTCTGTGGGTGTAAAATGGATGAATTTGCACATTTTAATTGATTGATTGACTGATTTTATTTATTTTCATTAATAGGGTGCCTTTCCCCTGAGGGAAAACACAGAGGCTAACAACATTAAAATAAGTAATCTGTTCTGGAAGCAGAGGTGCACTCTGTTCTTAGCCTCTGTGGCTTTTAATAGTATGGACCACAGCATCTATTCACAGAGGCTAACAACATTAAAATAAGTAAAATTATCTGTTCTTGAAGCAGAGGTGCACTCTGTTCTTAGTCTCTCTGTGGCTTTTAATAGTATGGACCACGGCATCTATCTTGCCACCTTGAACACAATGATATTATCTGACTTTTGAAGGTAAATGTGATTGGATCTGGCTAGTACTTGAATGGAAGACCACAAAGGGATCATCAGGGGTCTCCAGGCAGGGACAGGAAAGAATCTTGTCTAAAACTTGACTAGATTTAGCATAGGACAGCTATTTAAGTTCCCACCTCTCTGTAACGAGGATTGTAGACTATTTCAATGCTCCCAATTCTATGTGCATGTATATGTGTAAAATAGTGATGGGATGTTCTTTGGGTCCCTCATACTTGCATTAGGAACTGCCCAGCTCTCCATAACAGCTTAAACAACAGTATTTCCCTCATACTTGCATTAGGAACTGCCCAGGATACTGTTCACTCTCCATAACCGCTTAAACAACAGTATCTAGCTACTGGGAACTCATTCAGAGTGTATATGTCATTAGTGTATCAACAAGGTGCCACACTTCTATTTCTCCATAAATCTGAGTCCATGTGAGCTTATCTGACAGTTCTTGGATGCAATGAATGTAGGTTGGATGTAGGATAATAAACTGAGCTTTAATCCTGGCAAGATAGAGGTGTCATAGATGAATGATTCGTGTGGGCAGGAGATAGGTCTATTTTGAATGGAGCCACATTACTTATGAAGGAACACATGTGCCATATGAGGGTTGGATTCATCACTGATTAATCACTTTACTCATCACTGTTATTTGAGGCCCAGATGTCCTCAGTAACAAGGAGCATTTTAAAAACAGCTTCTTCTAGGTTGATAGCTGCAGCCATTGCTGGATGGGGAGAGCCACAGTGACCCATTAGTTGGTGAACACAGGACTGGATAATTGCAGTGCATTTTGTGTGAGGCTATCACTAAGTTTTGTGTTGAAGCTACAGCTAGTTGTATTGCAACTGCCTGTCTCTTCACCAGAGTGGGCTGTCAACAGGACATTGTACCTATTGCTGAAGGATCTGCATTTTTTTCCCTGATACCCATCATGGACCGGATAGTATATGCTTTAATAAAATTAATTGATAAACCTTTTTATTGACAGCCATAGTATCTAGCAGGTGCTTAAGAAGTCCTGTTCTTAATCTTTAATTTACTTAGAAACGGATTTGCATAGCTAAACAAAAGTGCTTACATAATACACTTAGCAATTCATGCAACTGATGTTCATTTTTTTAAAAAAGTGTAATTAACAGAGGGGAGTGGGAGACTTTATGCCTTTCCCCATTGCTGTGTTCCTAGTTTGGATCAGACTGCAGCTACATATGCATCTGTTACTTGCACTAGAGAAAGAAACATGGTAATGTGGAATATTTTCTTCTAATGCAATTATCAGACATGGTACAGTGAGGAATACTGGGATGAGGAACTTGAGTTGGTGCAAAGATTTCACATTCTTTAAAATCTCTTTGTTTCCACCCCAACTTGTACAATACCCCTTCTTTCAGTCTCCACCACTCTTACTCACAAAACTGAAAATTGCATGAATACGATTATGCTCTCTTTGGCCCAAAGAGGTGGCACCATTTTAAAATCGTGAAACAGGCAAAACAACAATATGAGTTTAGTGATAAGTATGCTTAGGAAAGGCTTGTTATCTGTTCTTCAGGGAGTCCTGTCAAATCACTTTTATCCATTTCACAGATATTTTATCTTGTCAACTTCACTAAGCTCCTATGAAACATAGCAGGATGCAAATGGCAACACATTTGTATTCTGCAGTGACTTTTGCAGGCAATGTGCAGTGGGACAAGTAAGTGGATTCTCTGAAGAAGTGGACTTGTCCATGAAAGCTCATATGAAAATATAGCAGTTAGTCTTTGAGGTCCACAACATTTTTGTCTTCTTTATTTTATTATTATTGTTATTTTGTTCCTGCCTCACATGCTACCATAGACTAACACAGCTACCTCTTCTAAAATAACAACTATGGGTTCTCTGAGTTTGCACCCACCAAGTTGTTTCTTACACTTTTGCTTACGACTAAGGATGAGCAAAATCTGCCCATTTGTTTTCACAAATAATTATGAATATTTCTGCCTTTTTGATGGCTGGCATCACACATCTGAGACACTAGTTTGGGGATCTGATATCCTATCTCAGGAAGAGTGTTGAAGAGAAAATGTCTCTACTTTCATTCCAAATTCATGCAATTCATATCCTGCTCTCAAAATCCTTGATAACTGGGTATTCATGAGCCAGTTCACAGAAGACATTTTCTTCCAAATGCAATCAGCTATGACCATTTTCAGGCAAAACACTTGTGTGACTGAACCATATCATCACAGATAGAGCTGGCAGCAAATTCAACCACGAGTGGTTCCCTGGCTGAACTTTTCCTAGCCATCACAAATTGAGAAATGACGTCAGTTACATTAAGTGAATCCTTTGTTCCATCACAAAAACCAATGCAGACCTTAGAGGACTCATTGTGTGTGAAACTTTATACAGTACTCATCCCGCAAACAATATTCCACTGCTTATTTTAATTCAGCACTACTGTCACATCGAAGGTAATGAAGGCCGATGCAATAAAAGATTGCCATCATGGGCTCTTCTCATTTCTAAGGCCACTTTGTGACAGTGAGATGTGGGATCATTATTGTAGGCCTCTCATTTAGGTTGCATCTGGCCACCCAGAATCTCTTCTTCATAACGTTAAGTTAGACAATAACAAGATAAAAATTTCTGCGGATGGGGCCCCAAAAGAGGCAAAGAATTTTTCTGCAATGATAAACTGTGTCCATATGTTAAGATGTCTGAAAGAACAATAATAATTGATTTCACACTAATGACGTGATCAGACTGTTGTTTTTACTGCTGTTTGGTCTGTTGCAAGGACAGACTGGTTCATTCCTTTTGCCCATGATGAGATGACATAATTGCTAGCATGAACCAGCCCGTGCCCTTTCTGGGTCCCTGTCAGGGGGTACTAGTTTTGGGAAGGGTGGTTAGTGCAAATAGGCTCACTCAGTTTTGATTAATTTCCAGAATATGCAATTGATGGAAATGAACCAAAGCAGTTTGCAGTTTTAAATTTCCCTTCTGCTTTCAATTTCCTGATAATAAGTGGCTTAAGAAGATAACTTAGCCACTTCACAATATTGGAAAATTAAACATTACTCTGCTTCTCCCTGGAGGAACAAAGGAAAGAAGTAAAAGTTGTGGGTTTTTTTAAATAATTGTTAGGACAGAGCTTATGCCGTATTCCATTTAAAAAAATAAAAATTGAAGACTTCCTCCTGGAAGCAGGAGGAGACAGGAGTGGGCAAGGAGATTCCCCCCCTTCTTTTGCTAAAGGGGGCAGACCAAAAAGGATCACCCAAAGGACATACTGGACCTCTGCCTAACCACAGTGGCCCTATTTATTTATTTATTTTATTTATTTATTTATTGGACTTGTATACCGCCCCATAGCGCTACAAGCACTCTCCGGGCAGTTTACAATTTAATTATATAGACTACACATTGCCCCCCCAGCAAGCTGGGTACTCATTTTACCGACCTCGGAAGGATGTAAGGCTGAGTCAACCTTGAGCCGGCTACCTGGGATTTGAACCCCAGGTCGTGAACACAGTTTTAGCTGCAGTACAGCGTTTTAACCACTGCGCCACGAGGCTCACTGATCACTATTTAGCCTGATCCAACCTCCTCCAACTGCATCTGTACAGACAAGCCCTAAACTACCATTATATATGTTTTCTCTAAAATGAGTTGCACTGATTACTGTATGATACAGTGATGTTTATATATGATAAGTGGTTTTGATAAGCAAATACTTTCTCTTCAAGTAATGACAGGAGATCAGCAATTGTGCTTTTGCATGCTGTCAAGTCAGCAACTCTAACAAGGCTTTCAAAGCAAGTGAGCTATTTAAGGAGTGGTTTTACTAGTTCCAGGGACGTGGTGGCACTGCGGGCTAAACCGCAGAAGCCTTTGTGTGCTGTAGGATCAGAAGACCAGCAGTTGTAAGATCGAATCCACGCGACGGAGTGAGCTCCCATCGCTAGTCCCAGCTCCTCGCCAACCTAGCAGTTTGAAAGCATGTAAAAGTGAGTAGATTAATAGGGACCACCTCGGTGGGAAGGTAAGGGCGTTCCGTGTCTAGTCGCGCTGGCCACGTGACCACGGAAACTGTCTTCGGACAAACGCTGGCTCTATGGCTTGGAAACAGGGATGAGAACCACCCCCTAGAGCCGGACACGATTGAACTAAATGTCAAGGGGAACCTTTACCTTTACAAGTTCCACTCTCTCTCTGAGTTTCCATGGCTTAATTGGGATTTGAAACCACAGCTCTTAAGTCCTAGTCCAGGCTTGTCCAACCTGCGGCCCAAGGGCCGCATGTGGCCCAGGTCGGCTCATAATGCAGCCCACTGCAATTTTTTATTTTTAAAGAAATTCCAAAGTTTCAAGTTACACTGCTGGTCCTTGCAGCCGGAATGCGGCTGGGGCACGTCACAACCGTAGGGGGGGAGAGGGAAGGAAGGAAGGAGCGGGAGGGGAGGGGACAGGGGGGCTGTGTGACTGCATTGCGCTGTCCCCCTTAATAGGGGGACACCCTCCCAGCCACCAGAGTCGAAGCTGTCAGCCTCTGCTGTCTGAGATCGCAGCTGCCAGTAAGCGCGCTTGGAGTGGGGCTACGGAGGACGGCTAGGGCTGTCCCCATGTGTCCCAAACCAAATTTATGTGCGGCCCAAACGAAATGTTCATCTTCTAATGTGGCCCAGGGAAGGCGAAAGGTTGGACACCCCTTTCCATCACTCTATGCACTACACCACACTGGGTATCCCATCAGTAATGGGGGGGGGGTAAATGAAGGACAAGTTTATTATTTGGGAGTGCTTGTCCCCCTCTGTAGCATGGCCTCATATTTGTTTTCTCTCTTTGGAAAGACAGTTGGTTCAGAGTGCTGCCGTAAATGTCCTAAGTATACTACCTAAATGAGACATGCCACATGGAACATATAACTTCAGTTCTACTTAGACAGGGTCTTCGTTCACACAGCAGCTATAACAGGTGAGCACAACAAATGTCTCATTTTGCAGCCCTGTCAATTTCCGACCGTTACAAAATTGGCCACCAATGCTATCCTCACTGTTGCCCATTCTTGATCTTAACTATGGAGCACCATTCTGAGGGACCTCACTTGGCTCTCTCACTAGTAGGACTTAGACTGCAAGTGAAGATGCTCTTATTTCAGAGGACATTTGAAACTGGTATGTTAATAGTTGTGTTCTGTCCTCTTTGTATTCTGTGGTAGCATTGCTGCTGATGGTCTACAGTATTTGGATTCCTGTTTTATCATTTATGTTCTGGAAATTTTTCCCAGCCTCTATGGAAATCTTTGAGTAAAAGCACGTTACTGTACCAAACAGTCCTGAAAACAGATCTTCGATACACTCAGAAAGATGGAGAAGGAGAAGATCTATTGGGCAAAGTTCTTGTGGACAACATCATTTTGGAGTATGGGTGGAAAGTTTCACATCTGAATGCTCCTCTGAGCTAAAAGGTTCCAATCCAAGGAAAAGAGTATACATACAGTATATCCTTCTTTCTGCATGCTAGCGTTCAGTGTAAAGGGAGTTTTCATAAATAGGGGAGAATTCAGCTATGTTATCCCTTACTTGAAACCCAACATGGTGCAATCCATGTGACTTTTCTTGAATGCTATATCTATGTCTGGCTATATAACTCAGGGAGTTAGGTATGTGGCTGCAGAGCCAGAGTGTTGGAGTTCAGTTCCTCATTGGGCCTCCAGAGAGAAGAGCCAGCCTGCGTGGCCTTGGGCAAGCTGCAAAATTCCAGAGCGCCCCAGAAGAAGGGAATGGTAAACCACTTCTGAGTACTCTCTATCTAGAAAATGCTGAAAAGGGTCATTGTTGTTGCTGTTGTTGTTAATTACTCCTACTGCTATTAGTAGAGTATTGAGACTCTGCAAACCACAGGCCACTCACCACCAGCAAGTCATTGAAGAGGAAAACCTCTCTCTGGTGAGCGGCTTGCTTCTGCATTTTGTTCACATCTGTTACTTCATATAACCGGCTGCAACAGACTAATCGGCGATGCGGCACTGACAAAACCTGGAAGACAAAAAGTGAACAGGAATGGATCTCTTCCTTATCCGCTGTCTTTAAGCAGAAGATATTCTGTATAGAGAAGGTCCCAAGTTTAGTCTGTGGCATCTCCAGCTAAAATAATCCATCAACGGGCTTGGGAACCTATACATCTGCTGTCAATAAGGGAAGGCAATATTTGATTAGCTACAGGGTGAAACAGCCTCACCAGATATAAGCAAGCACCAAAAAGATATGGATGCAAGAGCAGCATTAATCTTCATCATGTTATCATCATAGGGCAGATAGCCTATGTTGAGGGCTTACCGTTTTCATGCCAACTATCGATTTTTCCACTTTGGTAACATAGGTTACATGATCCTCATTGGATTTGAGTTCTCTCTGCTGGATCCTCTCATAAATTCCCACCACCAAGTCCCGCGGAATATCGGCCCCATCATCCACTCCTGTGAATCAGACATAGAGAACAAGCTAGACAGAGAGGATATTCATATCTGAGCAATAGCAAGTATTTATTAATTACTTTTTTCAGAAACTTACTTGCACGGTGTAAAATACAGAACTGGTTGTCGATTAGTACACATGCTCATTCTGTCCATCTGTTTCTGCCCATGGAGTTTTCTTGGCAAAGATACTGGAGTGGCTTGCCAGTTCCTGCTCCAGGTGGATCACTTTTAGTCAGAACTCTCGACTATGACCTGTCCGTTTTGGGTATCCCTGCACGGCATAGCCCATAGCTTCTCTGAATTACTCAAGCCATGACAAGCCCTTTGCCACGACAAGGCAGGATCCGTGAAGGGGAAGAAAACTCCATAGACAGTTTGATTATATTCTCTGCAGCCAAAGATGGAGAAGCTCTATACAGTCAGCAAAAACAAGACCTGGAGCTGATTGTGGCTCTGATCATCAGCTTCTTATAGCAAAACTCAAGCTTAAACTGAAGAAAATAGGAAAAACCTCTGGGCTAGTCAGGTATAATCTAAACCAAATCCCTTATGAATACACAGTGGAAATGAAGAACAGATTTAAGGAACTCGATTTGATGGACAGAGTGCCTGAAGAACTTTTGATGGAAGCCCGTAACATTGTACAGGAGGCAGCAACAAAAACCATCCCAAAGAAAAGGAAATGCAAGAAAGCAAAGTGGCTGTCCAACGAGGCCTTACAAGGAGCAGAGAAGAGAAGGGAAATAAAATGCAAGGGAGATAGGGAAAGTTACAGAAAAGGGAATGCAGACTTCCATAGAATAGCAAGGAGAGACAAGAGGGCCTTCTTAAATGAACAGTGCAAAGAAA